GCATGGGGGTGGCAACAACATGCTTTGGGGCTGTTTCTCTGCAAAGGGACCAGGACAACTGGTCCGTGTACATGAAAGAATGTATTGTGAGATTTTGGGTGCAAACCTCCTTCCATCAGCAAGGGCAATGAAGATGAAACGTGGCTGGGTCTTTCAGCATGACAATGATCCCAAGCACACTGCCAGGGCAACAAAGGAGTGGCTTYGTAAGAAACATTTCAAAGACCTGGAGTGGCCTAGCCAGTCTCCYGATCTCAACCCCATCGAAAACCTTTGGAGGGAGTTGAAAGTCCGTGTTGCCCGCCGACAGCCCCAAAACATCACTGCTCTAGAGGAGATCTGCATGGAGGAATGGGCCAACATACCAGCAACAGTGTGTGCCAACCTTGTGAAGACTTGCAGAAAACGTTTGACCTCTGTCATTGCCAACAAAGGATATACAACAAAGTATTGAGATGAACTTTTGTTATTGACCAAATACTTATTTTCCACCATTATTTGCAAAAAAATTCTTTAAAAGTCAGACAAAATGATTTTCTCAAATTTTTTTCACATTTTGTCTCTCATAGTTGAGGTCTACCTATGATGTCATTTACAGGCCTCTCTCATCTTTTTAAGTGGGAGAACTTGCACAATTGGTGACTGACTAAAGACTTATTTTCCCCACTGTATGTCTGATCGGAATTCTTCTAAAAATGTGAGGGAAGAACTTAAATGTTGGCCCATCCAAGGACTTTAATCTTAAGATTACATCCACAGAAGGGTTGAAAATGTTCAGAGCTGGAAAAGTAATTGCAAAGTTAAGGTTTGTAATTTTGTGGTATTAAATTGCCTGTCAGATCTAAATGAAGTAGAGGTTCTGCACTGCCAAAAGCCATGTGTGGAGAGCGGTGTAGCTTTACGTGAAGACCGTAGTATTTTTCTTCACCACATCGTTTTATCATTGAGCTAAGTTCATGGTGTTGTTTTAAGAGATTTAAGTCTCATTACCCCAACCTAGGCCCTTTGTGATTTATACCGTTATTACATGACTCTCTTCACAATAGAAATGATGCATGAATCACATTTGTACTCTAAGACAAATGTTTCTCCAAGGCAAAGAGAGACACTGTAGCTAGTTAAAGGGACCCTCATTAAGCTCTCGTTATTGGATAAGTGGCTCTCATTTTCACTGCGAGATTCCAGGCCTGACTAACTGGTCTTTATACCTCTTGGAAGATTGCAGTGTTGCATTACTGCGGTGCTAATTTGTCATTTGTGATGTGACCGGCAGTTGCACATTTTTCTGTGTCCAGACCCGTGTCATTGACCTTCAGTTCCTGCTGAGTCGAACACCTGCTAACCTCGGCCCTAAATTTGTCAAGTGCGGAGTTGAATATGGGTCCTAAGAACAGCTCCTCCTCAGCCCATATTTACGATGCATCTTGTTTATATTACATCACACGTAATGTGTTGACTTGTGTTTTTAAGCAAGGATGACAAAAAATGTAGTTACAATATAAACATCCTCCTATGAGCAAGATATTAATTTGTTAGAAATAACCTACTGCTGCTGTAGGACCATGATTTCAATACAGCATAACTTTTAAATAACCAATGTTTCATGATGTTTTAGGATTTGTTTATTTAAAGTAGACATTACATTCTTTTAAATCCTTCTTTTTCACATTTTATTTGTTCAGTTACAATCCATATAAAGTGGAAATGCAATGATTTGGTATGAATCCCTCAATGTAACTCCACAAGCCCCTTTTTTACACATATTTTCTGAGGTGTCTCATATCAACTCATTTTGAGGCTGTCTCTTTAAAGGCACAGTGTGTAGGATTTGTTGTTTTCAGCGACATCTAGTGGTTGAGTGGTTGAATCATCCTCCCTGGTCCTCCCCCCACCCCCACCCCCGCTTCCAAACACAAA